TTTGGGTCACCTCCAATTTTAATTCTTTGTAGTCTGTGATATTCAAAGATTAATAGCCATGAATCATTGATTGGGAGAACACTCATTTTGAAGAGATAGATTTTTTTGCTGCCTCAAAAAAAGCATCACATTGAAGATATAAAAGACAGTGTACTAATTGAAAGCAAAATGAAACTAAAAAAACATGCTTTGTAGGGAATGGTTCTTTAATGACACTGATTTACAAAATTGGCTCATGGGCAGATTCCCAAGGTCAAGAGTCTCACCAGAAGACAAGAGCAAATAAGGAATAGTGGTGAGTATGCTGGATTTAGACTCAGGACAGCCTTGGGAATTTGCTTATAATTTAGGCACATTACATATTTTGGTGACCATAATACAGCATTAAATTGCATTTTTTCTGGGTAGAGCAACTTACTTACCTTCCCCATGCTGGGACTAGTGAAAGCTCTGCAAAAATTTACAAATAAAGTTCAGCCTATTGTCTTCTTCCTCTTTACCTCTGGCCCCAGCTCATCGTCCATCTTTAGTCCCTGTTTTGGAGGGATGTACTGAGGAAACAGCTCAGTGGGCCACTCAACTTCATGTCAGATTGGGCAATAGGTATTCTTTATCCACTTGGCTTGTCTTTAGAAATCTTCTAAACTGTTGAGTGGTCATGGATCTCTATAATATCTAGGGCTTGATGCAATCAACACAATGCAGTCCCCAGGTAGGAGCATGTGAACAATCTCTCCATGGACAGTGCATTTCCCTTCCATTTGGTCTTTGAGCTGGACATCCTCCTTGACTATGGGACACCTTTATATGTATGCATCTTCCTAAATTACACTTCTCTTGATACGGGCAACTTTATTCAGGGATCTTCTGATTTGCCCTGATCTCTGATTAGCCTTGAGGTTACGTCTATCAGAGAATTTTGTGTTATCTTAAACCTATGCATGAGTGTAGACATGGTCCATTGTAGGCTAAGGGGAACTAACCATATGTATAGAAGTATAGTGAAGTTAATAATAATGATAATAGCTAGCATTTACATGACATGTATGTGCTAAATACTTAAAAAATACAACAACCCTGAGAAGGGTAGGTGCTATTATTATCCCCAATGTACAGTGGAGGAGATGAAAGCAAATAGAGGTCAAGTGACTTGCCCAATGTCACAGAGCTAGTAAGTTTGTGATGCCAGATTTGAACTCAGGTCTTCTTGACTCTAAGCCCAGTGCTCTAACCGTTTTACCACTTAGCTGCTCTTACATTGAATTGGCCTATGGTACCCTTGGACTGGAACCAGAAATGGCAACTCTGAGCCTGTTCCCCAGGGATGGCTTCTATTGGCCCATTCAAACTCACTCTACTTTGCTATATAACAGACACAGGGAGACTGCGATAATTGTTGGGGGAAGATTAAGCAAAATGCTATGAGATATATCCCTGCTGCAGGCGTTGGAGGAGGGGGGCGAGAAGACTTCCAAGAGGAGGAGATATCCTAGTGTCTATGCCCATGCCTGATCTGAGTTGCCAGTTGGTACACCTATAGTTCAAATACTCCAAGAGATCAGCAATGCCTGCTGTTGTATCACTGGAGAGTTAGTTATCCAGTGAATCATTAGTGCTGCTCGGAATGAAAAGTATAGAGAAGCCAAGTTGGCTTTTCACTTTAGGGATAATGATTGTAACAGTTCCTATTTTTAGGGGGCAACTGAAACATAGTCCTTGTAGTATGCCCTGAAAATGTAAAACGAATATAAAATATAAAACAAACAAACACAAAGGAGCTACCTGTTCAGAGATTTTCATAGCAACATTACAATCTAACTGCAAAGACTGAAAGAAACTTAAATGCCCATCACTAGGGGAATGGTTAAATAAACTGTGGTACTGGTGCAGTGGATGGAGCATTGGGCTTGGAATCAGGAAAACTTATCTTCATGAGTTCAAATGTGACCTCAGATACTTCCTAGCTGTGTGACCCTGGGCAAGTCACTCAACCTTGTTTGCCTCAGTTCCTTATCTGTAAAATGAAGTGAAGAAGGAAATGGCAAACAGCTCTGGTATTTCTTTCAAGAAAACCCCAAATGGGGGGTCATGAAGAGTTGGACACGACTGAAAACCACCTCAACAACAACAACACTCTAATTAATGTAATAGAATATTATAAATCAATTAAGACTGACAAGTACAAGGAATGCAAAGAAATCAGGAAGGATCTTGATGAAATAGCACAAAGCAACAAAAGCAGAACCAGAAAAATGGAATACATACTATGTTGTTTAAGAGGAAAATGGATGAGACAATGAATTTTTGTGTTGTGTTTTTAACAAAACATTCAGTTTTTAAAAATGTAAAATACTTCCTAATGTTTTAGAAATTATGTAAAAATGTGAATTGTAATATACAATTCAATCTCTTTTTTTCAGATTAAGGTTTAAGGGACAAGCCATGATCATGAGAGAGAAACTCACTCCAGCTGAGATAAGACACTAACACACAGGAATGATTAATGATCCCATAATTCGCAGATCTTGGAATATCAGAGCCAGTATTTTTCTTTTAAAGGGTTCATTGTGGCTAAGTTATTTATCAAAACCCCTTCATGATGATATACTGAACATGGTTCTGATATAAAATTCAGAAATAACTGAACATCTACCAGGCTTAATTTGTTTCCAATTATGCAGGTAAAATTGAGACAGAAGGAGTCTGCTGGCTGCACAGGTATTTGACATGACTCCATTAACCAATTAGTGCTGAAGACTGCATTGCAAAAGCCCAGATGATGCACTTTGAAACCATGACAAAATGTAAGACAAGCAATTCTGTCTGGTAACAGACTGCCTGCACATTTCAGGTTACTTTGCGTTTATGAATTACAAAGAATCACAAAAGCCAGTCAAATCCTTCCTTCTATTTTCCAGGATGAAAAGCTCTCCTGCCCCAGTCCTGACTGAGAAGCCTCATGTACAAGTTGAGAGGGAGAAAGGGATGGAGATGAAAAATACACAGCTCTGGAGGTCTTCTTCCCGGGTTCTGCTACAGTACTCAGTCACTCTTCCATTGGCTGCTGTATTTATGGAGGAGGGGCAGGTTTTTGGAGGTCCCTCTTACGACTAGTAACACTATAAGACCCAGGTGGATGTGAAAGGTAACTTCTCTCCTCTTCCTCCCTTCTCCCATCTTCTAGAAGGGTATCTTGAGTATGTAGATAGGAATCAATCTTAAATGTCTTTGCTTGTCATGACCAAAAGCTTATGTCCTATATTTATTTAAAATATGCCCAACTTTTATGTGACTGTATTTCAGGGTTTTTTCTCCCTACACACTTTTCAATGATTAATAGAGTAATGAGACTGAAGAAAATTCTGGACATTTCAATCCTAGATCACTTAGTTTCTTAAGGAGTGGCTCTGCTCACCCAATAATGACATTGAAGTACACTTTGCAGTAGGTTGGCCAGCCAGAAGCTTCCCTTTTGAAGATGGTTGCTGTGGTCCAGCTGAGAAGGAGCCAGCATGGCAATGCTTGGCACACAGTAGGTGCTAATTGAAAAATGAGATGACTAGTAATCAGATTAAGTGAATAGAGTTCAGCATTGTTAATAAAGAATTCAGAGTCACTGAGACTGTTTGTCTCCTGATATGCCTCAGTAGAAAGGGCATTGGTTGGTAATAAGAGATTCTTAATCTAAGGTCCATGAAGCCCAATGGGTCTCTAGATAGATTTTAGAGGGCTCAAAAACTTGGATGGAAAGAAAATTACATCATTAGTTGCATTAGCCTTTGTTTCTTTTGTAATACCATGTATTTGGCATTTGCCTGCTGGGTGGTGTATGTAGCCTATGGAGAGTTGGACCTGGAGTTGGGAAGACCCAAGTTCAAATCAAACCTCTGACACCTACTAGCTGTGTGACTCTGAAGCAAGTCACTCAGCCTCTGTCTACCTCAGTTTGCTCATTTGTAAAGTGGGAATAATAATAGCACCTAGTTTTCAGGGTTGTTGTGAAGATCAAATGAGATAAGAATTGTAAAGCATGGTACCTGGCACATCATAAGTACTATATGAATGTTAGCTATTGTTATCATCATTATTTTATGCTTTGTAAAACACTATTCTGAGAAGGGGTCCATATGTTTCGCCAGACTGCCAAAGGAGTCCATGAGACAAAAAGCACTTGGGCTCAAATCCCACTGCTGACATTTATAGCCTTTATGACCTTGATCGAGTCAATTAACAAGCAATCATTAAGCACTAACCAAGTGTCGCACACTATGCTAGATGCTAAGCACATAGAGAAAGGCAAAAAAAAAAGTCTGTGTTCTCAAGGAGTTTACATTCTAATGTGAGATCTTAACCTCCTTGGCCTCAGTTTTTCCATCTGTAAAATAAAAGGGTTGGATTATATAGCCCCTGAAGTCTTTTTAAGATATGATCATCTTAAAGTCTTGGGATAATAGAGAAAATGCAAGAAGGATAATAAACATCCACTTAAATGTACAATGCACTTAGCATAGTAGATGCTTAATAAATGTTCGTTAACAATAGGGATGTCTACCTTCCTCCCCTTCCCAGTTCTTTAGGACAAAGTAACAGCAAAGAGCTTGTCTGGCTACCACTAGATTTTAGAACTTTCTTTTGAAAAAAAGAAAGAAAAGAATGGAAAAAACCAACCACAAGACAAAACCATCAATCATAATTCCCTACCAATTTTCCTATTCATTTCTACTCATCTGTCTTTTCCTTTTCACTCCCATCTTCATTGCTATCTTAGTTCACCACTAAGTTCACTAGCACTGTACAGGCTCTTGTCAAGTAATATTTTGACTATTGGTCATGCCCCCCCCCCCAAGTCTGTCTATCCTTCATAGTACTTGGGCTCAGAAAAGAGAAACAAAGAAGAAGAAGGTGTCCTGAAAGTGAAGGTCCAGGAAGGACCAGGGCATCTGGAAGCTAGCAAGGGCAACTCACCGAGAGCCTCTCCCATCAGTCACTATCTCCTGTTCCTTGACTATGGAGGGAAAGGAGAAATCTTCTCCCCAGGTCCCTTGCTGCCTAGGGATCCAAAAGAGAAACCTAGGGAAAGAAAATAAAGGCCAAACCCTCTCAGAGACCACAGGAAAGACAAGAATCCTCTCTACTCATAAATCAATTTGTATGTAGCCATGCGCAGTAGAGACCTATTAGAGAAGATCTTGAATTACTCTCTGGAAGGGGCTAGGGTTGCATGTGTGTTATGGAATGTGCCCTTCAAATGAAGATCCCTGCCCTATAGGTCAGGCTGATTGGGGAACTTATCAAATGTATCAGACTAACAGCCTTCCACCCCAATCAATCTTTCTTACAAATATGTGTAGTGAATATGTTTTGGCTCACTCTCCCAGAGCCAGGCAACCTACATCAGCCTCCTCAATGCTCCAGGATACCCTGAGGGACTTGGGGGTTGTCTCTAATGTCGTTGGCTGGTGCCCCACCAGTTATGTTTCTCTCCATTGTCAGGTGCTAATGACTGTCACCCCATTTCTATTTAACTTCTTAACATCAATTAGCTTTACAAAGGAATATTTAATTCAAAGATATAGCAATAACACAGTACAAGTATTTCCCTGCAACACTTCAAAGGCACATTCTCCCCTGCACCACTTTGGTCTTTGAGGAGAGCAGGCTTAAACTTACATTCCTACATAACATTGGTCCCACTGAGTTTATGTCCAAATATGGCATTACTGCTGGATAAGTCCTGGAGGTAACTACCAAAGGTTGCTTCTTGTTCCTTGGAGAATCATTGCTGCACCCAGATGTGAGGAAGTCAGGACTGCATTCTGCCTTCACCTAAGATTAAAGAACAAACACCAAAGCAGACATAGAAATCAGGACCATATTCAAGGGCCACCGCCCTTAGTAGAGAAGACCTAAACCCTCTCCCTTTATAGCATTTTTCTTTCCTGATACCACCAGTGGAGGAGTCAAAAATATCAACCAAGAGTGTAGCCAAAAGAGACAAGGCCAATGCAGACTTAAGCCGTTTTGGAGATGCCCCTAATTCTGGTAATGCAGTCAATCAAAAAAAAGCTTCTCCTAATCATGTGCTTAGCCAACCAGAACCTATTACAGAATGTTTATGTGTGCTCAAGTCTCTCTGAGGCACTTCTATTGCATGCCATTACCACTCTCCCGGAAGCTGACTTCTCAGCCACTTCCATGTGAAGAATTTGCACCAGTGAATCATATTGATACAATCTGCTAATGAGTCAGTCCTGTTACGTATTATGCAGATAATGAGGATGAATTGACCTATAAGGGCTCATAGCCACATAGAGGCAGCTACCCCTCCCTCACCCAACTCGTCCAACACAACTTGAAAACACCTGTCTTACATGATTTGACATCTCAAAGAGACCAAGTGGCGGTCAATCCCCTTACAAATCCACTGAGTCATCAAGTCCTCTGGTTCAGCAGCTTATTAAGGGACTCTGTCATCTGAGAGCTTAAGCTCTTAGCCCTGAGTCATTCTTACTCCAGCACTGATGTAACTGTGAACATGCTCTGTGGAATGGCCTCCATAGACCAATTCAAATTTCTCTGTTTCTCTGTCTCTATCTCTTTTTGTCCCCCCCCCACACTCCCTAACAACACACACACACACACACACACACACACACATACACACACACACACACACACATACACACACACACACACACACACAGAGCAGGTTCACATGATGCTGATACCAGTTACTTAAGCTGAAAATAAGTCACCGATCTGTATGATGGTGGTAGTAGAAGTTGGCGAAGGTGGTGGTAGTGGGGACTGGATTTCTCTATATTGATGAAATCACTGATCTGGATACACACATACATATATATGCATACATACATACACACATGCATACAATCCTTTGTCTCTAAGTCAATTGTCAACTTCATGCATGTAAAGATTTTGTCTCATACTTTTAAAAAGCTGCCTCACCTGACAATACAACGACAGTCAGTCAGTAAGCATTTATTAAGTGCCTAACATGTTCCAGGCATTGTGCTAAGCACTGGGGATACAAAGAAAGGTGAAAGACAGTTCTTGCCCTCGAGGAGCTTATAATTTAATGGGGGAAGCAACATGCAAACAAATATGTACAAAGCAAGTTATATACAGGGTCAATGGGAAATGCTTAACAGAGGGAAGGCACTGGAATTAAGAGGGCTTGGGAAAGGTTTCCTGTAGAAGGTGGAATTTAAACTGGCACTTAAAGGAAGCCAGGGAAGCCAGCAGGTAGAGATGAGAAGGGAGAACATTCCAGCCAGTGAAAATTCCTGGGGTATCTTGTTGGAGGACCAGCCAATGTCACTGGATTGAAGAGCATGTGTTGGGGAGTCAGGTGGAGGAAGACTGGAGAGGTAAGAGGGGGCTAGGTCATGAAGGGCTTTAAATGTCAAACAGAGCATTCTGTATTTGATCCTGGAGGTGGCGGGGAGCTACAGGAGTTTAGTGAGTAAGGGAGTGATATAGTCAGACCTGCGCTTTAGAAAAATCACTATGGCAGTTGAGTGGAGCGTGGACTGGAGTACACACAGTAGGAATTTGATTGATACTTGTTGTTTGGTACCCGAAAGGTGACCCAACCATTCTTCCTGCTTTCATCTGCCTACAGCCACAAGTTGACAAGAAGGACCTTGATGGACAGTTATTTTTTCATGAAATCATGAAATATTAGACCTGGAAAGGATCTTAGAATACGCTAGACCAACTCTTTCATTTTCCAGATGTAGACACTGAGAAGTGAAAAGATTTACCTGGGATTGTTCAGTGAGATAGCGGTTCTCCTGACTCTATGGTCTGCTAGGGAAGAATTCCATCCTGGGAATTTGGAGTGTTTCCCTCAATCCTTTGATTTGGGATATCTGAGGATCAGCTAATTTTTATTTATTTCCCTACTGAAGAGGAAGGAGGATGCTCACTGAAAATACCAGGTTGTATTTGTCTAGGCACTCATAAAGATAAACCTGACCAGCCTATGGTTAAGAGGTGAAGGAAGTCGGGACATATTTTGGGGTCCAGCTCTCCCTTTCTGGTCCTTTACCCTTGGCTAGATTATGCTGAGGTTGTACTAGTATCAAAGATTTAGAACTGGAAGAGATCACAAAGATCATATAGTCCAACCTTCTCATTTTATAAATGAGATAACCAGAGCCTAGAAAAATGAAGGGACTTACCCAAGATCATCCAGGTAGCAGGTGGTAGCTGAGCTAGAATTCTAACTGAAGTCCTCTGACTCCATATCCAGCATCCCCATTTCCCCCTCCCCTAGCCCCTTTTAACAGCAACATACTCTGGTTTTACTTTAAACTGAAATGTTATTTCCCAAAATCTCAGGGGCTTTTATGGCCCACAGTGTAATATCCTTATAACAATGATACTCTCTTTTCACAATTAGACCTTATCTCAAAAAATCAATTGTGTTATAAAATGACTAGATAGTATTGGCCTGTACACATTCGAGGTCCTCTTGATTGACCCCAGTGGACCCATCCAATCTCCTCATTTCATCATTTGGCCAGCACAGTCTTCTACCCATTTCATTTTGGCCAGATTCCTGACTGATCCCTGTATATGGACTGCTCACTTCAGTCTACATTCTTTTGATCAAGTCATTCTCACTGGCTTGCAATGCCTTTCTGCTAAGGCTACTCCTAAATTTTTTTCAAGGTTCTGCTAAACACTTATCTCTAAGGAATTTCCCATGACTAAATGTACATTATGATGTTTTTTGGCCTATATTTTGCATTCACTTGTTGGTCCTTATATTATTCTCTGTTTTTGTAAATAGTATTTTATTTTTTCCAATTATGTGTAAAGACAATTTTCAACATTCATTTTTTATAAGACTTTGAGTTCCAAATTTGTCTCCCTCTCTCCCCAAGGTGGCAAGCAATCTGATTCTTTATAATATTCTATACTATTATGGTACATTTTTCTGGTTGTTTCAGGATTCCCCAACTAGTAAGCTTTTAGAGGACAGAAATTTTCAGCCTCTTTTTTTCCCCCATAGCACTTTGCATTGTACTAATTTGAAAAGCGCTTTAGATCCTTACTAGCTGGGTGACCCAGAGTATGTCACTTAACTTCACTCATCCTCAGTTTCCCCATATATAAAATAGGCATAATAATAGTATCAGCTTCACAGGGCTGGTTTGAAGATCACATGAGGGAATATATATTTAAAGCACATTGCAAACCTTAAACTGCTACATAAATGTGAGTTATCGTATTTTATAATAAGCTCTTAGCAAAAGCTTTTTGAATTAATTATGGAATATAGGGAAAATAAAGAGCCTTACTTATTCTTTTACATTAAAACTTGAATATAGGAAACTATAAACAAGGGGAAAATCAGTTGTTTTTTAAACAACTTTTTTTTTTTTTGGTGAGAGCAATTGAGGTTAAGTGACTTGCCCAGAGTCACACAACTAGTGAATGTTATGTGTCTGAGGACAGATTTGAACTCAGGTCCTCCTGACTCCAGGGCTGGTGCTCTATCCACTGAGCCACCAAGCTGCCCCCAAATCAGTTGTTTTTGATCTTTTTTTTTTTAATTTTTAGACAATTGGGGTTAAGTGACTTGCCCAGGGTCACACAGCTAGTGTTAAGTGGTTGGTCTGAGGCTGGATTTGAACTCAGGTCATTCTGACTTCAGGGCCAGTGCTCTATCCACTGTGCTACCTAGCTGCCCTGAAATCAGTTGTTTTTTTAAAAAAAAGATGCTATAAAGTTAAGGTAGAGACTTTTCAGGGAAGTTAACTCCTTTAAGGTTACGCAGTTAGTATGTTATATAATTAGAGCCAGGATTCGAAACCAGGTCCCTTGTTTATAAATCCTTGGAAAACCCAGAAGCTCCTCTAAGCCAGATGACTCATTGGATTTGGATTGTAGTGGAAGAACTTTCTACTACATAATAAATATGTAAATGAAGCAGCAGCAGGGCTTTCAGGAAATATCGGCCAAGTAGGAACTCAAGTCACAAGTAGGACCTCTCTGCCTCCACAGATTAGATTCCATGTTGGCCATTGCCTTGGATAAAAGCAAAACAGCCCAAAAAAGTGCCTTCCGTCTTTTTTCTTTTTCTTTTTGGTGCTGCTGTTTGATACATTGAGATAATGGCACCAGTTAAGGAAAACTGCCAAGGATTCAGTAGGCTGACAGTGGACAGAAGGGTTGTTGTACTTTGGATAATGGGTTTGCAAACAACACAATTGTGGCTTTCTTTCTCCCCAGTTCCAGCTTCATTCTAATGGGTCGGCAGCCTCTCTGAGACTGAGAGGGCAAGCTCGTTGTCATCCTTTTCACAGAACGGCCGCTGTGACCATGGAGAAGAGATGAGATGCTCAGACATCATGATGCACTCTGGTGAACAGAGAAATCTGCTCGATGAGTCTGAGAAGTCTTGGAAGGAGTGACTCATTTGGGGGTCTGTAACAAGCCAGGTTTTTATTGATCCTAAATGTTTCATGTTTTATCTTGGGGGTCTTATGCAGTGCCAGGAATACAGTAGGTTCTTAATAAATGCTAGTCAAATAAATAAATGAATATAAAAATGGGGTTAAAAGTTGCACTTGTCATAATCAGGACCTCTTTTTTTCAAGTATTGAGTAGAAATAGCTCATATTCCTGTAGCACTTATTGTTTATTGCTATGATTGTAATTATAGATTACATACAGAGGCATCAAAGTGTAGTGAATAGAGAACCAGCCTTGGAGTCAGGAAGGTGCATTCAAATCTTGCCTCTGACACTTACTGGCTTAATGACCATGGGCAAGTCACTTAACCCTTTGTGCCT